GTGGAGATGAAGTTAAATAGAGGAAAAAAGGGAATTCTTCTTTTGTACTTATACTACTAATGCCAGTCAAAGAGTGACATTGGAACACCTCTGACAAATGATCCCATTGTGCAGCTCATTGTAACAAGTGTTGCTCTGTGCCAGAAAGTGGTTAGATGTCTCTATGAAATATGCTTAACTCACTGAAGGTTTATTTACACAGAGGCTATTAATTACTAGTCATTTATGCAACAAGGAAATCTAAATGCAGACCAAATCTGCACATCAAAGGGGAAAAAAATATGTCACACAAGCTTCATCATTACCATATTTCCCTTCCCACCCCTAAATTAAAGGCCCAGGAGGATAAAGTAAATTCCATTAATCAAAATGAACTCGTCCATTTCTCCCGAAGGCTTCTGGTGAAAGTTGACAAATGACAAATATCTAGGTAGAAAACAAAGAGAGAGCATAAGTGGTATCATCTCCAGGGTCTGTACTTCTTGAGAAGAGATTATGGAATCCATTTAAGAAGAGGATAGGAGGCCATCTATCTGCAATAGTCTTTGTTCAGTTGGGCCCATAGGCAAGGAAACAGATTAGATGACCTCTTATCACCAAAAGCATTCATTAGGTGTTTAATTATATACAATGCTTCACTAAGCAATATATAATATAAAGTGAGTTGAACAGATATGCTTCCTGCTTTCTACAAGTTCACCCTCTAAGAGAGACAACAATGGACTAGGACAAAGATCTTAGGAACCTACATTGAACATTAAATAAGTTATCACTTGCCATTAAGTATAAATAAAGGCGTTGCTGTATTTCATGGGGCAATGAATGAAGAGGAAGAGTAGAGGAGTTCTCTTCATGAGATGAGATCAACAACAGCTCTAGAATTAATTATGGCCAGGGGTGGAACATTCTGGAAGGGATAAGATCTTTTAGGATCAGGTTTCTTTAAAAAATAAGTTCAAGATCTTGACTGCTGGTGATTTACATATACTACAAGTGTATTTTTTTTTTTAAGAAAACAACTTTAAATTCAACTGGTTTTTAAAATAACTTTCTGATCAATTAAAATCACATAAGAAATATTTTTAACCCATCTGTGTCTTTAGAGGAACCACATACAAATGTTATGGCTAGTAAGTAATACAGTGAAAGGAGGAAAGGCTGATCAACTGTAACTGCTGGTGACTTGGTACACATTTTGTTCAACCTGACAGCTTTCTGAGATATGTGAGCCCTAGTAGAAGTCATTATAACATTTTTTTTAATAGAAAACTATATCAACTACAGAAATTCAAATCAATTTTGAGAAATTTATGGAGTCAACATTTTTGGTTATCAAAATGGATCAAAATGGTGTGTGTAAAGTTTAAGGAAAGAAGGTAGACATATGGAATGTTGTACCAAGCACAATAGCAAACTCAAAATAAAGACTCTAATTTTAAAGAACTCACATCAAAAGTATGTCTTACCACACGAAAAAATGTTTTGATTTACTACAAGATTAGGCATAAGGATAGCAAACCTTTTCTGTTCAAATGTTTGCAATGATTATTTACCTTTTAATAAGTAAGTTTCTTTAAAATGCCACGTAAGAGAGTTGAGGGTGTTTGAGGTACTAGCTGCATGTAGGTGAATATTTGACAGAGTAAGATGAACAGATAAAGGAGTTTCATTACATTTTCCTAAGATGTATAGAGACTCGCTTTTGTTTTGAATTGTTAGGAGAGGAGGAGTAGCAAGAGAAGTAAGATGATAAGAAAAGAAAAAAAAATTAAGCAAGAGAAAAACTGAGAAAATCTAGGATGCCCTAATAAAACATCTAGTAAAGTAAAATTGCTGAGTTCTACATCAATGTTTACATTTATGTCCACAAATGGTCAAAAAGATCCTTGTAGTCAAAGAAAATATCACTTAAAATACCTAAGAAAAATTCAAAAGGTAAAATTTATCAGGCAACAACTGAATGAAATCACCAAAGGTCTCATTTTCAACTGGCAAGCTGTAAGATACCTATGATGATTTTAGGAAATTCCATGAAAATTTAAACTAACTACTCTTAAGACAGTAGGCACATCTACCTGGAAGCAAACACAGACACAAGAGAAATGTTAAGGCTGTAAGATGGAATGCTATATTAAGTGTCAACTTTTTTTTTAATCAAAACAAAAACCATTATTCTATATATGCCATTAAGATGAAACTACTTAGCTCATAATAAAATATGAAAAGAGAATTCCAGTTCCTAAGACTTAAAATGGTCTTATACTCACAATTGAAACATTTCAGTCATTTTAAGTTCCAAAAGATCTTCTATGAATATCCAATGTATATATTTGGAGAAGTTATATGCAACATGGGCTAATTTGTAGTCCATACTTGGTACCTATTTATCAAGGAATTAACTTACCTTGCAATGTACATATTAGTCTTCTGGCTTTACATTAAGCATTACACAGACAATGAATGATAATTTAGCAATGCTACAAGTACATTTTTCCCAGTTCTAATTAATAATAAATTATAACTCTATAAGGAAGAGGACATCAAACAAGCAAATAAAACTAGTGGGAGACACAATAAGCCTTAAAACTTAGATTAGTAATCAAGAAAAAGGCTACCTGGAGACATATCACAATACAATAACTTTCTTATAAAACAGTCTAAATAAGAAAAGACAAAACTATTGTCAAGATGTTTTATGCCCTACAAAACATCAGTATTCTAAAAAAAAAAACACATAGAAAGAAGGAGTCATTAGCAATAAGGATGCCAAATAGAGCTGGTAGTGATGGCCAATGGATGAAGAGAGGTAGCTTTTCATGTGATGGAGTAAGTGGAGTTGACCCAAAAGTAGGTCTGTCTTGGGAAGCAATGGGAAGCAATGGGAAGAAAACTACATGGTGGAAGTTGTGAGGCTTACACGGTTTGATCCCTTATCTGAGATGCCACCGAGGGGATTCCTCTTCAAGTACTGCTTGGACTTGATGGCCCAGGGTCCCCTCCAATGCTATGATTCTATGTGAATCTTTCATTTCAGCCTTAAAAAAAATTTCTTAAAATCTGGAAAAGGCTTTTACTAAAGATTAGGAGCTATTGTTTATAACAATAAATAACAAACGGTACATAGTTAAGGTACCCAAGTATGTGAATTCTATATATTCTCGCTTAGCTGTGGGGTTAAATTTAAGTTAAGAAATGGTTATGGTAATTAAGGATCTTTTTTTTTTTTTGGCTCTTCTTAACAATTAGCACTAGCTGCTAAAAAAGATCAATGTAATTAGGAAATAGAGGGCAATAAACTAATTACCAAAGCCACTTGCTTTTTACTACCATGATTATTTAAACTAGAACTAAAGTTATAAGCCACCAATGACAATTGTTATCAGAAGTCCTTTATCAATCAGCCCCTATATAAATGTATCTATTAAGGTCTCAGTTTCTTACATACATGCATGAATATATATATATATATAGATATATATAGATATATTATATTATATATTTAAATGACTTATTTAATGATAATATTTAAAATTATCTCAAGATTGAAAAAGTTTCCTGATAATCTCCATTTTTTATTGTTTGTAACTTGGTTTTTTAAGTATATTCTTGCATAAAAATTGATATGGAAAAAAATTCCACTGTAATTCAAACTGGGCTTTTTTTAAGACAACAATTTTGAATCAAAATGATTTTCAAAATAACCAGCTACTTGACTAGATTCAAATGAACAATAACTCTGTCCCCTCTGTGTCTAGAGAAGTATCATATATTAAAGGAAAGAATCTAGGATTTCCTCAAGTTAGAGAACTCCCTCCATGAATCAGATCACAAATATATATATTCTAATTATAAGGTTCTAGGAAGTTGCCTTGGAGCACTTAGATTTAAGTGACTTACTTGGGCTGAGTCACACAACTAATAAGTGTCAGAAGTAGGATTTGAACCTGGGTCTTCTTGACTTCAACTTGAAGATGTCATTTAGGAACTAGCCATCCATGCAGAGGTCTAATCCCCAGTCAAACAGAATAGTTCTCAGAAAATGTATTTAATAAGCTCTCTTTAATACAGAGAGAAGAGGGTTGGTAATGATGTTGATAAGAATATCAAAAAGTAAAGTGCTTATATTTTTAAATGATACCAACTATGCTAGGGTTAAATTAGACTAGCATTTATCAAACTATTACTCCAGGTACTTAGAAATGGTATCTGAGTGACCCAAAAGAGTTAATGAGGGGGAAGGTAGGTGGCGCAGTGGATAGAGCACCAGCCCTGGAGTCAGGAAGACCTGAGTTCAAATCTAGCCTCAGACATATAACACTTACCTAGTTGTGTGACTCTGGGCAAGTCACTTAACCCCAACTGCCTCACAAGATAAAAAAAAAAAGAGTTAATGAAAAGGCAACTAAGCTATACTCCAAAAGAAGTTAACTAGCTTGATTACATTTGGGTCATTATCTGAAAATATACAGCACCTATATCTTCCAATTCATGATCGAGAAGATAAATAAAGAATATTATCTTCTATATCTGTATCAATAAATATTTTCAGGCTTAATATTTCTTTAAAAGAAAAAGAAAACATTATATCCTATATTATGGAACCAAAATATATTGCAAGACTTCATTTCACCCCAAGTTTGTTTTCATCATAAAACACTGAAAATTTGATTAGTGTATTGTCCTTGCCTTTTTTTCCCCCCAGGGTGGAGAGACAACCATATCTGTTCAAAAACCGCTTGATTTACAAAGGATATCCATAGCGTAAATTAGGGATGCATTATCTCAGAAAAGAAAAAAAAAAGTATTGTATGTCTGAGACCTGAGGAGACACTCAGATGATTTACTTCTTTCCAAAGAGCTCTCTAACTTTGATAAAAAGACTCTAGAGAATGGGACAGATCTTTTTCAGGTCATGTAGAATACTGAAAAATAACACTATTGGCACTCAACACATTGGCATAAATAATAAAAATACAGACCAATCATAGGTTCTCTCTTACCTGAGTAATGGATGGAATATGACAGTTATATTTCGGGCTCCAGGTTTGCAGACAAATTTTGTTCCTCCACCTTCAATTAAGTTGTCATCAGGTCCTCCTTTAAAAAAGATTTAAAAAAAAATTTACCTAACTACAACTTTTAAAACAAGGAATAAAACAAGATCACAGAGCTTGGGGCACACTAAGAGTAGCACTCTCTTTGAAAAATGGATAATAATAAAATTATATTTATTAAGTAATTCCATATTATCTTTTATCTGTTATTCCTTGTAGCTACCATGTATGGTAAGTTGCTGTAACTATACTTATTTTCCTGGTGAGAAGTTTTAGCAACAGGTAGGTTAAGTGTTCTGCCCAAACTACAAAGCAAAGCAAATTTCAGAGCTGAGCTTAGAATTAGGGTCACCAGGATATCAGTGTGTTACTTAGCCAATAACCTACAGGTAACTTTTAGGCAAACAGGATTATGGTATCATAGATTTAGAGCTGATATGGACCTGGGAGTCCATCAGGTCCAAACTTCTCATTTTACATACGAGAAAATTTGAGGCACAATGAGGTTAAATAATTTCACCAGGGTCACATAGCTAGTAAGTATCTGAGGTTGATTTTAACCAAGGGCTTCCTTCCTCCAAGTCCAGTACCCGATCCACTATAACACTCAAAGGGAAAAGAGGCTATGTATGACTTTCTAAAGGAATAGTCATAATAGAGTTAGAGAAAGGAACTAGGAATTAATAGGACATAAATCCTGGTTCTGGCTTTACAACTAACTAGAAAAGTGAATTGGACACATTACTTGGACAAGTCACTAAATTTCTTTGGGCCTCATTTACATCCTGTAAAATGAAGAGGGTGAGCTTGATGGTCTCTAAAATCCATTTCAACTCTCAGATACAATTCTTACTAACACATTGCTACTAATTCAAGAATTCGACCCTTCTTTTTAAAATGAGGGTATCAGGGGAATTTAGCATCACATCATTTAAAATTCTGAAACACAAACATACAACCACCATTTGTAAATGCTATTCTAATAATTTTTTTCAATAGTGCCAAACACAAATTTTTAAAGATATACTTTAAAAAAATTAAAATCATTTCTACTTAACTTATCAACTATTTGAATACTATAGGAGACACACTAGAAACTGACCTATATTTATACACAATTTCAAGACTCAGAATTCAATCCAACAATATGATTTATCAGAAAGTTAATGTCTCCATAGACATTTGCTAAATTGTGTTCCATGTAGTTCTAAGTATTGTGAATGGTAAAAACATGGGTCTCTCACATAGGAGAGCAGCTTATGTTACAGGTATTTCCCCCTACATAATTAAGTATAAATCAAAAATGGTTATTACATTTGACAATTTTCTAGCATTAAAACTATTTTTCCTTGCCAATTTTCCAAAATAGGTATATTCCAAATCTCAGACCAGAATTTGTAGGCTTTAGAAATGTATTTTAAACCCAAATTCTTCTGTGGACAAATTATTTTGGGAAATATGGATATGGACAGATAACTACCATAATATTTCTATCAACTAATTACTGTATTGGTTTTTTGTTTGTTTGTTTGTTTTGGCTAAGAGGTTGGTATACAGAATATGATGTACAGTCGTAGATGGCAAGCTGAGAAGCTTTTCTCTCCCAGTTGGAAATATGTATTTTGAGCCATTAAATACAAACTAAAGGGAGGATATGTCTGCATGATCAGTGATGTCATTGAGTCAAAAGTACCTAGATTGGCAAGGAAGCTACTCTTCTGATATAAAAACAATGATAAAACCCACTACAGAACACATGGAACAAATGCAAAAAGAAAAAATGATCTAGCATGTGACAGTACCTTTTTTTTTTTTAAACAAACATGTCTACTTTCCTAGTCAATCAATCATCTTCCCTTTCCTTTCCATCCCCATTCTTCATCGCCAGTCCTAAGACACACAACCATATTTTTTGTCACATCAGATTCAATAACCCGTACAACTTTGAAAGAATATTAGAAGCTTATTGTGAGTCACTAAATAGCAACATATAAAAGAAATCTTTTCCCAAAACAAGCTTAAGTAATTCTTTATTAACCCAACACAAGCCCACCAAGTTAACACAGCAATTTGGTCAATACAAAAACTTTCTTTAGGACACAGTTGTTGCTCAATAAATGAATCCAGCCACACTTCAGAAATTAGCAAATTAGTCTAAGTAGGCCCCGAACATACCCCATACATTCTCCTTTGGGGTCTTTTCTCAAACTACGTTGTTTCTACCCTCCCTCCATTCACTCCCTATGTGACAAACCCTCTCACACTAACTCTCTGGCCATCTAAATCCTACTCTTCCTTCAAGAAGTAAAAATTCTTTCTCGTATGTGTTTAGCCTTCTTAATGCCCCATTTATGAATGCCTACTCTTTTTCCTAAACTCCTGTTTTACACATTGTCTCGTTTTGCTTAACATAAAGCAAATACTACTTTATCTTCCAGTTTTCAAGGGTGTGAAAAGTGAGTAGGGCAATGATTAATGGGAAGCAACAAGTATAGACTACTTTTACAAGGAAAATGGCAGTAAAATAGAGAAGAAAATGAGGATGATAACTTCATGGTAGTGTCAGAGAAAGAAAGTCTTTTCAAGATATAAAGATTTGAGCACGTTTGTAGATTGAGGACAAGGATCCAAGACAGAGGAAGAGATAAAAGAAACACGCAGATGAAGAGAGAAGGAGCAAGGTTACAGAGGAGAGTGGAGGTGATAGACCTTAAGATGTGAACAGAGGTGTTGGATTTTACAAGAAGGAAGGCCTTTTGTTCTGATACCGGAAGAAAAGAGCAGAAGACATTAACAGGAGTAAGGAGTAGAGAGTCCACATCACATAGTTTCAATATTCTCAGCAAAAAGGTGAGGTCAGTTCCTGAGAAAAGGGAAAGGGGCAGAGTCGGGGGTTTCAGAAATTTGGAACAGCTACTGTAGATGGTATAATCAAGAATCAAAAAGAGGTGACTAAAAGTATTGCCAATAAGTTGTCACAGGACAAGTGAGGTTAGATAGTTTAAGTCATAGTGGATCTAGTGCCAAAGGTCAAAATGTTATGGTTTCCTCCAGAAGCATTTGACAGTTCATAGGAACAATGGATTGTGGTAAGAGATTGAAGGGTGGAAATGGGGGCATATTGACAAGCAGCTGAAGGATCAGGACTCAAAAAACCGGAACAATGAAAGCAATACGAGAGATGAAAACAAGTATGGAAGGAGTGAGGAGGTGAGGAGTTGTGGAGAAGAAGAGAATCTTAGAGTCCAGGATTTTAAAAAGACAATTTTAAGTGATAGCCAGTGCTAAGTTATGACCACCCACCTGGGTAAGTGAATTAGAGATTGCAAAAATGGATGGAGAAGAGTGGAGGGGTTCAAAAAACTGTGAAGACAGGGTGACAGAAGAGTTACCAATGTGTATACTGAAGTCTCTGAAGATGATACAAGCAGGATGGCTGGCATGAAAGACCGTGACCCATGTGCCAGTCATGGAGAAATACAGAATGAATAAGCAGTCAGTAGGGAACAACAATACAGATCTGGGAAGGGTGGCATAATTCAGTGGCACAAATTTCAATATCAAGTCTGAAAAACAAGACTTGCCTCTCTTCTTGAGCCTTTCAATAATCCAGTAACCTGGAAGTATCTGTCATGGACATTCTCAAGTAACACGCTATTCAATCTCCAAAAGAGCAGAGAGAAAAACCGGATTCTCCATGTCCCTCATTTATTATGTTTACAGCTTAATCTTCTCTGTCAGAATGCCTAGGTGATGGGCAACTCTGGTGATAGACACCAAAGAAAAATTTGAATGATGATAGATAGTTGAAATGAAAGGAAAATTGACAATAGTGTTATGTGTGAAATACATATAGCAGAAAGATGGGGGGAAAATGCATCCAATTATATTTTCTGTTTCAAAAAATGAGAACATGACAGGATGACTCAAGGGACTCAGAATTGAAGCCAAGACATATTGGATACTTCTAAGGTTACTATGAGGAAATGCATACTATATAAAGAAAAGGTCCTTTAGCTCAAAATGTTATGAAGTTAGTTCTTTCTGTTACTCTGTATTTTCACATATTTTAAGGGTAAACAGCAACAAATTATTTAGAAGAATCCAAAGCTTTGACTTTCATAAAGTTAAAATCAATCATTATTCAAAAAACACAACTACTAAGCACAGGTATGCTAGAGCCAGTTTTGATCCATTTATTAGAGGCCATTGTTAAATTTTCAATTTGAGCATATATACCTCAGAAATTGGCAAATGCTCCAAATCTGGGCTTGATATATTGTTTTATTGATTTTCTAGACTTATGAGAATGATGAAGAACATGTTGATAATTCAGATAAAATTCAAAATTGTGTTGTATGTACATTTTTTTCCAGAGAGCTGGTTGCTAAACATTTAGAAACACAATGCTGCTATTAAGTCGGTCTCTTGCCTTGATCAATATGTATTTCATAAACAAATAGTACGAGTAGTTTGTTGAGGTGGTAGTAGATCTGACTCTGATTTCATCAGAATACAGATCAGCAATTTGTCTGCAGTTCAGTCTTAAAGAGTCATATGGAACACTGAGAAATTAACTGACTTGCCCATGATTATAGGTACAGTATGTGATAGAACTGAACACAGGTCTTGATGCCAGGTAGGATTTCTGTCCATTACTCCACAGTTCCTATCTGGGACAAAATGTGTCCACAGAGAACCCATTCCTGTTGTAAGTCTTTAAGTCATTAAGAAGTAGAAAGCCAATTAACCATGAGAATCAGATAGTTTAAGTTCACCTCTGAGATAAACACTGCTAACATATATGCAAAAACAAAAAAGAGAACAATTTTTAGTAAGATGGATGTACAAAATGTTGATTAGTTAATATTAGGAGCATGTGGGTCCATTAGTAACTATATAGACTGTCCTCAAATTTGTTACCCTGAGAAATGTTTAAGACATATTACAGTAATATCTGACATTTATTTCCATTTCCTGCTGTCCAACACTATCTGTATGTGTTTTAAAAAAATGTGCAAATAGTGAACAAAAATATATGAG